GGAGGGGGGGGGGGATTAAGGGGAAACAGATAGCAATGATCTACATTTAACCCACCCACCCCGCAGGGTGACAAACAACAGAAACATGGGTGAAGGGAGACAGCAGACTGTGTAAGCTATGAAAATAATAATTTATCAAGAGTTCATGAGGGTGGGAGGTTGGGGGAGGGAGGGGGAAAAGCTGATATCAAGATCTCAAGGATAAAGAAAATGTTTTGAAAAGGATAGCCACATGTAGAAATTTACTTGATACAATGGATGTACGAATTGTTGTAAGAGCTGTAAGAGGCCCCAATAAAATGATTTAAAAAAAAAGAAAATTCCTGAACCAGTACAGGGCCAGACAAGATTATTTGAAAGTATGAAGAAACAGGAGAAAAATAGTGATTTATTCACATTATCTTCTCACTTTGTTTCTGTTGGCCAAAACTAATTGACAAAATTAACTTGAAATCAGTTCAAGTGATCATTATAAGCGAACCGTTCTATGGGATTTACCTAACTCCTTTAAAAGGCAATGATCCCATTGTTCCTTTGTAGACAGTATTGACATCCTATACCATCTTGTGATAGATTTGAAGGTTTAAAACTGTCAAGTTCTAAGCTACATTATTACTGGCAGGCTCTTTTGGTTCCATGGTCAGCCATTTCCCACATGGTTTTCCATGCTCCTCGAAGTGGCCATTGTTGGTCTCGGCCTGGCATGCTTTCCAGAGACTGTATTATCTGAGACCTGACACTTCCTTTCCACTCATAAAAGTAACTTGGACTTACAGAAGTGGTCTTGTGGAGTGGATTCTCTAAGCATTGCGAATCGTGAACCATCCCAAAACACCAAGTCTGATCTACAGCAATGAAAAGCCATGGGGGAAAAAACAATCCCACCAATGTGGAAGTGAGACACAGCAAATATGGCAAGCTATAAAATAGGAAATTCCGCTTACATGACTTCTCAATACGTTTTGACTTGTCAGTACTGATCTGAGACATGTGGAAGCATCAGCCTTTTTAAAAAAACCATGTGGTTGGGTGAATCTATCCTTACTTAAAAGCCATACAAAGAATGAACCAGACTTTCCAGCTGTTAGAATAGCCAACACCAAGCAGGTGTTGTAACAAAGGAAGAACTTTGCTGTTGCGTTGCCACATGGCTCTGGATTCCTGTCCAATGACTGAGCAGGACCTTGGGGAGGACCCCATCCTGTCAGTGCAACAGTGGGACTCTTGGGGCATTTCAGGAGATGGGGAGGGAGATATGCATGGTTCAGTTTGGCTGAGTCAAACCTGTGGTAGGAAGGGAAGTGTGGGTAAGTAAACAGGCAGGTAACAGAAACCTAAGTCATTAACCCTATGATTTCAGAATTAACCTTATGGTTTTGTTCTCTCCTAGACATGACATACTTTCTGCAGCTCCTGGTGCTGCTTGTGTGCTCATTTAGTGCGGACATGGCAACTCTTTGGAAAGCAGCAGCTGAGATGACTGCCGCACTAGCCATGGTCACAAGAAACCCAAGGAAGGTGCCACGACTGAGAACGATGATCATATGAATTTGAAGATGGCGGGGCAGGATAGTTCTGTGGTGCACGTTAAGACTAAGGAGCATATGCCATTTCGTAAACTAATGAAAGCCTATTATGAAAGACAGGGTTTGTCAATGAGGCGGATCCGATTCTGATTTGATGGGCAGCCAATCCATGAAGCAGGCATACCAGCAGAATTAGAAGAAACAGGAGGATCAAGACACAGTGGATATGTTCCAGCAGCAGACAGGAGGCATCTTCTAAAAGGGAGCTGAGCCTACAGACCAAGAATTCATTCTCAGCGAGAAGACTACAATTTGGTTGTACCGCATGCTGACGGCTGCAGTAGAGTTCTGTTTCCCCATTCCATTCTTGTACATCTTGTACATTCTTGTAACCAGTGCCTGTGCGCAAGCATACTGCATTTCCCCACCTTTGCTTATTGCTTTACTAAATGGTCTGACTGATATCAGGTGGAGAAGGGCTGGGGGAAAATAACGGTTCTGAGAAAATACCCCTTCTCTATTCATGGCATGCTCATTCAGTTCTTCTCTTTATATTCGAGGAAGTTATTTTGCTCACTGGTCAACAGGAAGTAACAGCAGGGTGTTCGCTGTTAACAATAGCATGAAACTGCGGTGTTCTGAGTGCTCTTCCCCTGCAATGGGGTGCGGTTCTCAACGAATTCTTCAAACATTGTATAAATTCTTATAAACATTTAAAGGAAAAATAAATAGGCATGTAAAGTTAGGAAAAATGAACAAAATAAAGGAAAACATAAACATGGTACTTATCAGACTTGAAAAAAGGATGTCCTTCCCCAAATATATTAACTTCTAATTACAACACTAACAATTTTTCTATCAGCAAAGCACCTTTAAATTACTTATATTACTTATAAGACACTACTGAAATAAAATATAAGTTTTTTTTTTCTAGATTTAGCTTCCTTCGATTCTTATATTTGTAAATTTCTAATACGGTCCAGAGTAAGAATTCTATATATAAATGTTTTGCTAATAAAGGCCCTGTCATAAAAAATTTAGGCTTTTCAATAGTGCACTCTTTGAAAGGGGTGTCCAATCGCAATTTAGGAATTAAAGAAGTTTGTTAATGGAAGGGTCAAAACTTTGAAACTAAATAGATCACTCCAAGTGTTAAGTCCATGTTGGGGGGCTCCTGTCTGCCATTTCTAGCCCAACCATGAGGCAAACCTTCAAGGTGGGCGCCATTTTGCGAAGGTCAAACGCCCATTTCTAGAGATCTATAAAAAGGGTTACTGACCGCTTGTATTTTCCCTTCAGATATTTCCTGTTATGAGATTGACTACACAACATTGTTAAAACAGCACATCCTGATCGGCTTTACATCAAGGTTTGAAACAGGAGCCGCACCCCATTCCAAGGGTAAGAACAGACCACCTCAACCTCATGCTATTGTTATACAGCTAACATCCTGTTACTGGTTTTTCATCGTTAATGCCAAAACCACAGGGTTAATAAAGACTTACTTCTGTTTCTGTAAACTGCCGGTTTACTTACCTGTGTTCTCCTTCCCACCACACGTTTTGACTCAGCCACTCTGAACCATGCACATCTCCCTCCCTGTCTCCTGAAATGCCCCAGAGTCCCACTGCTACACTGGCCCCGCCCAGTCTTTGCAGAGGAATCCACTGAGGCACAAAAGGCAAGTTCTTCCTTTGTTCCAACCTGCTTTGTGTTGGCTACTCCTTCAGAGCGTGTCCACTAACATCCCGCCCCATTTTATATTATTCCAAGATTCTTGGAATATATTCCAAGACATTCTTCAAACGCGGCCACTGATCTTTTCCCAAGGCCCCTTGGCAATACAGTACATCAGTTTCCACTACAAGAGTAAAGGAAGACAGACATTCCTCTGACTAAGGGCTAAGGTGTGTGTCAACAGGACGGCTGCCCATGACAAGCAGGGAGGTTAAGGCAGTGTCTTCCCACTGCATGCCTATGTTAAATGAAATGAGCAGGCCATGCTATGCCACCAGTGAAGGGGTTTGAAAGAAATTGGGCACACCTTAAAAGCCTATGGGGACGATCCAAGGTTGGGCATGTGTAGATGAAAGCCGCCAAGCATGCGCATTAGAAACTAGCTATATACCTCATACAGGTGCCTAAAAATGGCCAATACCCTCAACCACGCTGGCAAAGCGGGCATAAGAAGGGGTAAAAAGCAGGAAGTGGGTGGTGGGCAGAAGCTTTCAGTTCCGGTCCTCCTCCAGCCATCTTCCGTGTGGTCTTTTTCAAGCCGCTCCCTGAGGTGGCCATTTTGGGTCTGTCCTCAGCTCCACGTCTGCCTTGCATGCTTTCCAGAAACTTCTTTTCCTCCTAAGTTCTTCGGAATTTCGAAGGTGCTTATGCCGCCTGAATTCTTTCAGGTTGAATAGCAAGAACGGGGAAACATCCCCAAACCTACCACCATCTCCCCACTGTTTTCGGTGGAGCCACCCTCAAATGCGCACCAAGTCTTGGCTAGAGAGAGACAACAGTACAATGTAAATACTAACACACACACACACACATTTCAAAACTAAGTCATTGCGAGGATAGAAAATGCCATCTTTCCACTGCCAGGCAGCTGAGGGGTTGGAAAAGCTCTACATGGCTAAGCAGCCCACACCCTCAGCTTTTAGTGAGTCAGAGCTCCGTGAAAAACAAATTACTGTAAACGTTCAAATAGGAGTATTTGCCAGGCATATTATGGACTATGGAGAGAATCAGCAAGATGTTACTATGAATGTGATATATTTGTACATATGTATCACCACCACACAGTCATGAGTCAATGCTGACTCGTGAACCTGTGGGTTTCAGAGACTGTTTACAGGAGTAAAACACCTGTCTTTCTCCCGAGGAACTGCGGGTGGCTTTGAACTGCAGGCCATGCAGATCCCAACCCAAGGTTTAACCACGCCACCAAACCAAATGAGCCCAGAACGCCCTCCAAAACTTGGAATTTCCTCTATCAAAAACTGAAGCAAAAGCCCTTTTTCAGACCATTCAGACTCATCCAAACCTTGGCATCAAATTCAAATGCGACAAAGAGAACTTACAAACGATTGGACAATGCATTCCCGAGTCAACATTCAAGCAAAGAACAATTCACAGCTGACTGAACAACCCAAGCACCGTCCACAGCTGAGGGAACACACAGAAATAATAAAGTTCCTGAAAGCCACGGAACACAGGCTGCAATTCCAAGAACACTTACCCCTGTGAGGTCTCAGGGTCATGGAAAAGTAGAGGTAAGTAATTTTTTTTTTTTCTGGCGCCAAGTTTTTTTTCCCTAGACCCTCCAGAGAGCCCACCAGGAAAACCAGCTTTGAATTCCCGTTTCCCATCTCCTCTATCTTAAGGTACAAAAGAGACCTCACGTTGACTCTAATTCAAAGAACAGTAAACGTTGAAAGAGGAAAAGGCAACGCAAAGACACAGGCACACCATCCTGGGGACCCCCCTCACCGACACGAGGTTCAAACGGGGCCGAGAGCCCATAATGGAGAGCGGAGATAGAAGAGAGGGGTCGGGGGCGGCGAGGAAACTGCCACACAACCACGATTGGTGACAGATGGGTCCATCACAGTAACAGGCGTGACGACAGAAGCAGGAAGAGGACAGGGACTGGGCCACGTACATTGCTAGCTAGAAGGGCTTACAAGATTGGTTCGTGGTCTTCCGACTACGGTAGTCAGGGCCAAACTGATAGGTCAGGGACTCAAGCCTCCTCAACCTCCCATCGTGACCTCCTTCAAGGACACACCTAGGCAAGCCCCGCCCAGCGCTGGCCGGCGGAGAAGGGGGGAAGCAAGCCACTCTCCAAGGTGTTCTCCCTGAGGGCAAGATTATCTCCATGCCTGGTCAATGATCTAAAACTGGTTCTCAACCTGCCTCATGCCGAGAGCTTTTAATACAGTGCCACGTGAAGATGATGCCCGTTGCCACTTCATAACGGTAATTTCGCTAAGTTATGCATCAGGCGACCCCTGTGAAAGGGTATTTTGACTCCCCCAAAGGGGTCTGGACCCACAGGTTGAGAACCGCCGAGCTAAACACATTCAATAGACTTGAAGAGAGGCTTAATTTAGGAAACCAGGCTTAATCTTTTGCAAACCAGGGTACTCAGAATTTAAACTCGAATACAGCTAAATGTGATTTATTCGCTTCGCCTTTAAAAGCTTATTCATATAGGGAGTGAGGATTATATTTTTGAGACAAGCCTTGTAGTTGATGGGTGAGCACCAGTCACTGGCATCACGGGCAACTAATTTATGTCCGGAGACAGAGGTTTCATCCCTGCGTTTCACCCCCTCAGTTGGCAGAATCTTTGCTGCTCCTTGCAGTTTGGTTGCCAGCTAATGGAACCCAGAAGCCCTTTCCGTAGGAGGGAGAAAAGGAAGAAAGGAGGCAGAATGAGATGACAGGGAAAGTACAAAGAGGCTGCCCAGGTGGTAAGTTTATCTCTTGCTCAAAACCTAGGCCAGGAAAAAGAAATGGGGAGCGGAAGATTCTGGTTCCAGGCTGGATTGGTCCTGGGGGGGCAGTCCCAATGAGGGCTCATCTTTTGAGGGCTGTTTGAGGGAGCTCTGGAAGATACCAGTCACAGAATCAGAATTCACACAGACTTCTGCTGGGAGACACTTTTGCATTACTATTAAAGATGAGAATTTAGATAGGAACTGAAAAT